CTCGGGAGTTCAATACCCAGAAGTGGGGGGGGGGAAGGAATCCTAGAAAAAGAGAATAGGGAAAATGAAGGCTAAAAATGTACCGAAGAAATAATAGAAGAAAATTTCATAGAACCTGAGTTTCCAGATAAAAAGGATTCAATAGGTGCCCAGAAAAATTATTGAGGAAAAAAAAAAAAGCACATCATTATGCATTCTAAAAACTAAAAAGATAAAGAGGATATCCTCAAAGCTTCTAAGAGAAAATTCAGTCATATACAATCGATGGAAAATTAGTATAAAATCAGCAGCCCAGCCCTAGAAGCTAAAAGAAATTAAGAAAAGCCTGCAAAATTCTGAAGGAAATTAATTCCAACCCAGAATTCAGTACTCAGCCAAAATACTAATCGAGTGTGAGAGTAGAAGTAAGGCCTTTTTTTTTGGAAATTTAAGTTCTCCAAAAAGTTATCTCCTATAAATACTTCCTCAGCAAAATTCGATAATTCAGCAAAATAAGGAAGTAACCTAAATGAATGATATTTAACATTTATATAATACTTATTGTAGTCTAAATATTATGTATGTGTTCCCCATTTTATGAAGTCGTAAAAGGAAGTTAAGTAATCTGCCTTTTGTCATGAAGCCTATGAGCAGTAGCGGTCTGGCTCCAGAGCCCAGACTCTTGAAGAAAGAGGAACATTTAACACTCATTCATGAAAAAAAACTTCCTCAAACTGATATAAGACCTCTATGAAAAATCTTTAGCTTATATCTATCTAATAGAGAAAAACTGAATGCTTTACCCCTAAGACTGGGAGCAAAGGGTAAGGACGTCCACTCTTACAACTTCTATTCGGCATGGTACTGGAGGTCCTAGCCAATGAAATAAGGCAAGAAAAATAAAGAAGAGGCATCATGAAAAGGAAAAAATAAAACTTCCTTTGTTCTTGGATGGCACAATGGTGTATATAAATCCAAAAGAATCTTTAAAAATAAAATTACTAAAATTAATCATTGAATTTACTGAAGTCCCAGAATACAAGGTCAATATATATAACTCAATTACATGTCTATATACTAGTAAGAAAAAAACTGGAAAATAATTTTTTTAAATATCATTTGTAATAACAGCCAAATAACCATAAAATAAATACTTGGGAATTAATTTAACAAAGTATGTACAAAAATCTATGTACTGGAAACTGAAACATTTCCATGATAAATTAGAGAATATCTAAATAATTAAAGAAAGATATCATGCTTATGAATTGGAAGACTCAATATTATTGAGAGGTCGGTTTTCTCCAAATTGATCTATAGAGTCAATATAATTCAAAACAAAATCACAGTGCAACAGTACAATATTTTACAGAAATTGACAAGCAAATTTTTAAATTTATCTGGAAATATAGTTAAAGCAATTTAGAAAAAAGGAGCAGACCTAAGGAGAAAAACCTGTCCAGATTGCAACAGGACTATGAAGGACTCCAGGAAAGAAATCTCCAAAAAAGAAAAAAATTAATAGATTATCTGACTAATGTGAATGTATTAAGAAAGACATATGGGACTAATAAAATGAAAAGTACATGAAAAAATTGTATTGTTAAATCCAGAGAAAACAAAACTTGTACAAAGAAATGTACACATTGTACCCAACGTGAATAATTTTTTACATAATCATTATAACAAAAACATTGAGTGTTGCTTTAACCAAAGGAATGTGGAACCTGTGTCCTGGGGGAACATGGGTGGCAGTATTGGTGTTTGTTGGACAGGGGTAAAAGCAGGAGACAGTCTGGAAAATGTTAAATCTTCAGAAGCCAAAATAGTAAAAGTCAATAGATGATATCTAAAACTGGGAAAAAAATCAAAATCAACAGCAAGCAGAATAAGCATACTTAGAAATATGCAGACTGCTGTTAGATGCAACAGCTATGAGAGTTAAAAGTCATTGCCTTTGCCTGTAGGGCAGGAGGGATACTGCTGGTTTTCATTATAAGCCATATTTATAAAACTAAACAATTCACATGAACTACTTCGATTTAAAAAAAAAAAGTAAAACTAATTTTAGAAAGTCCGAGTTAACTTAGTCTGATTTTTAATTCTTTAATTCATTTCTACCCTCAAGATTGGAAGAAAGATCTTAAGTCTAAAAACAGAATACCAGGATGGATCAAAGCAATTGTGATAAGAGCTCAGCAGTTAGCCACTTGCAGTTTCCTGGGTCAAACTCAGAGATCTTTGGCCCCTCCAGCCTCTGCATGGAGACAGCAAAAGGCTGTACGCCATCACGACTTCTTGGTTAGTGGTCATCTCTGGGGAGACCCTTAGACCAAAGAGAACATGGTCATTTTATTTCATGTGCACTAATGAGACTTTTCAGCCTCTGAAAGACGCTAATTAAAATGGAAGTTTCTGGGGAAAAGACGATCTTAAACCCCTATGAAATAAAATCCAAATATCAATTGACATTTTTGCTGGCACTAGTAAGAATGGGCCACTGGACAGGGGAGCAAGGGATGGTGAGGGGGCCGTGGTTAGTCAGAAGGGGAGCTAGCATACAGGAAAATAGTATATTTCAACATAATTACTTAGAGGCTGGAACATTTGAACAAAGCCTACCAAACAAGTTTTCAATTTTTAAAATCAGCACACATTGTACAGAACATACATTCGCATCCCAACCTCTGTCCTCAACTCTATCCTTGATGTTTACCCCATCCCTAACCCCCATTGTAACTGTCTGATGGTGGGGCAGACGTGTAACAGCCACCATGATGAGAAGGTATCTTAAGACAACTCCACAGAATACAACAGATTTTTTTATAGGGTAATTTACTTATAGGGATGTAGGGTCAGAGCAGACAGATGACCCAGCAATCTGAACATATTATTCTCTGCTAACAGACTTCCTTTGTAGGACTTTTTTAATAGTATAACTCAGGTACTCATGATTGACAAGACAAAAGACAAAGAATGTGGGAGCACCAGGGGCCATACCTCCTGGTGGTCTTGTGATAGATGATTGTTTACCATTAATATTACCACCACCTTGATATTTATCTCAGCTGTCATGACATCCCAGCCCTTACTAACAAAAACATTTATGGCTGTATCGTGTAAATTTAAGGAACGCAGACAATCATGCTTGCTAAGGACAGTAAGTTTGGTTAAAGGTCATAGCATGAAAACTTAAAGATGGAAGAAATCCAAGACACAGAGATGGAGCTAGTTTTGTTCAGATCTGCATCTGTACACCATCCCTAGCTCTCTGCCATCTCTGATGCCCCTACTCTTCTATGATCCTTGATCTCAGTCTTGTCCCAGACATTGACTGCTCCCTGGGGTGAACCCCTGACCTTGACCAAATATCTCATCTTTACAGTGTCTAGTGATCAACATACCAGTCTCTGACATTTTAATACACCACGTTATTTCAGTACCAACATCCTGGCATTTTTACAGATCCAAAATCCAAATCATTTGTGTCTTGAATGTAACCAAAGAATTACACACTACATTAAAAAATCTAATCGAACAATGGTGTACTTCATTTGAAGAGAGTCCTGACTCCATCCTTATTCTGTTTAAAACACTCTCAAGTTATTTTATTGCTGTTTGGTTCCCACTCCCCAGGTTACTAAAGAGGACAAGCATCTTTTTGGATGTGCATTCATTATTTGTATTTCCCCAGACCCAATATGGATCCTTATTAACTTACAGAAGCCCCTGATAGAGTTGCCTTTGCGACAGCATAAGACGGAAGAAGATGTGCATTAAGGGATGCAGTAGGAGAGGTGATGAGGGTATTAGAGAAGGAAGGAAGAAGAGAGGTTCCCAGGCCCGCCTCCCAGCCTTCCTCCCTGGATTCTTTCTGCATTCTTCTCTATTCTCTCCTTAATCAGATCCATCTCTTAGGGCTTAGCTCCTAACTCCTTCCTCACCAACCTATATGGAGAATCTTGAGCTAGACAGGCAGAGGTACCTCTGTCCTGGCCCCTGGAAGAGCATCTCAGACAATGCTCCAAGGAGGATGATGACCCTACCAGTGATGGCTTTTTGTTCCAGCCACTAACTGGACTAAACAGCAGTGGCTACTAGTGTAGCCACCAACCTGTCCCAGCCATTCACTCTATTTCTGACACCCCTCCCTGAGACTTTCCAAGCCCCCACATTCATTCCATTCCTAAGCCTCAATTCATATCTATCTGGTCCAAATCTCACCTTGAACTTCTTGAATCTCACTCACCCCATTGCCAGCCTTTTCCTTATTTCTGAGACTCTGCTTCTTCCTGACAGTACTTCTTCTCTGACCCTCCACCTTAGCCCAAGCTGCCCACCCCTCCCTCAGCTCCCCCTCCACCATATCTCTGACTCCAACCTCAACCCCTGATCCCAATCCCAAACTTGATCTAAATCCCATTCCTGAACCTCACTCCATCCCCAGACACAAATCATTTGAAGCTTTTCCATTATGTTTCCTTCTAAGAGTTTTATTATTTTAGCTGTGATGGTCTTCAATTTGTTTTAAGTTAATTTTTTATATGATATAAGGTAAGAGACCAATTTCATTTTTGTGCATATGGATTTCTACTTTTCTCAGCACCATTTGTTGGAAAACTATTCTTTTCCCCATTGAATAGTCTTGGCACCCTTGTTGAAAATCATTTGACCATTTATGCTTAGGTTTATTTCTGGGCTCTTTATTCTCCGGTTCTTTTTATCCTTTGGCTCCATCAGGCTAAGTGCATTAGGTTTTTGCCTTATTGTCACAGAATTGTTGCCTCAGCTCCACACATCATATCCAATAACCATAGTCCAAGGCAATATGTGGGTGAGTGAGTCTCTTTTTTTCAATCAGGTGTATTTCCCAGGAGTCCCCTGACCCCAGCAAACTTCCTCTTAAGCAATGGTGTGCTGAAGCCAGTTTGTACTTGCTTGTGAAAGCAGATTATTACATTTTCTAGAAGTTTTGTGAGCTGGTTGCTAAACACCACCACCCTTGAAATTGCCATGGTTGGAGCATTTATACCATGCAACTTTGCAAATGCTACAAATCAGGACTTTTTTCCCTAGGAGAGTGGTTTACCAGTACACAATTGCCCTTAAGTCTTATTAGCCACAATGAGAGGATATGGCCACTCCTAGCTTCAGGGAGTCCTAGAAAGTGAGTATCTGTCATTTTCGGCCTCTCTCAAGGGAAGTGGACTTTGCTAGCAAGCAAGGAAAGGGAGAGCTGGGGAAGCGACTATGGTGTTTGCCACTAATAGCTCCCAATGGTGGGAAATTTTTACAATCACTTAAAAGAGTGTCTTTAAAATGTCTCCGAAGACAGAGTGCTATGGGCTCAGTGGTAGGATGGACAGAGCTCTAGCAGCGGACATAGTAATTCCAGTAAGGGGCGGGGCACCAGGGCAGGCTTTCAATGCAATGAGGGCCTGGTAAGGATACAGTCTCAGCAACTTCCTGTAACCTTGATGGGGGCTTCCTTGACACAGAGACTGCGAACGGCCAGTGGGCATGAGGCTTGGGTGCTGACAGGAAGGGAGGAGGCCCGAGGGGCTGCAATAGGAGCAGAGGTCTTAGAAGGTAGTAGAAGTGTTCCCTGAAGAAGACCCCACAAAGGAAGGCTTGCCGTCCTTGGCCAGAAACTCCTTGCTGACCAGGCCATGGATGGCCATGATCTTGAGGAGTCCGTGGCGAAACTTCTGGCCGATGAAGGCGTAGATGAGGGGATTGAGGCAGCTGTGCAAGAAGCCCAGGATCTCGGTGGCATCCAGGGCCCGGCCGATGTCGTTGCGGCGCTCACAGGTCTCCTTGATCACGCCGAGCCTCATGAAAGTGTCTGCCACCAGGACCAGGTTGTAGGGCAGCCAGCAGAGCAGGAAGACAAGCACGACGGCAAAGATGACTCTCATGGCCCGGTGCTTCTGCCCCATGTGGGCCTGAAACAGCGTGCGCAGGGTGAATCCGTAGCAGAACAGCATGACCAGCAGCGGCAGGAGGAAGCCAAAGGTCTGGGGCAGGACCCGCATCACCATGCGCCATCTTGTTGTGTTGACACCTATGTCCTCATAGCAGACCGGGCTGGAATTAGGAGGGTAGAAAGCCTTGCGAAAGACAAAGATGGGCAGAGATAGGATCAGGGATAGCGCCCAGATGCCTAAGCATATGAACTTGACCCAGTGCCGCTTCTGAGTCAGCGTGCGTGTGGCGTGGACAATGGCCAGGTAGCGGTCCACACTGATACAGGCCAACAGCAGGATGCTGCTGTAGAAGTTGACTTCCTTCAGGAGTGAGACCATCTTGCACAGGATTGTGCTATAGATCCAGCCCTTTACTTTGGAGACAGCCCAGATAGGCAAGGTCAGGGCGAAAAGCATGTCGGCAATGGCCAGGTAGACATCAGTGACAGAGCGGCCGATCCTGCTGTATAATACAACCAGCATCACCAAGGAGTTTCCCAGCAGGCTCAGCAGAAAGACCAGTGCATAGATTACGACCACGGCATACTTGTTGAGTGTCTCAGTGTCCATCGAACAGGGGCTATAATAGTTTTCTGTGGGTGGTGTGCCGGTGAAATCCTCATCCATCTCCCAATCAGAAAAATTCCATACATTTTTCAAGAATATAGTCATGATTCGATCTAGTCAAAAGATTGGGAAAGAAATGTGATTTAGTAACTCAGATTCAAGTCGCTCTCATCAAGGAAATGAGAACAGTTACTGGGATATCTTTGCCTTCTCTGTTGGTTTAGCAACCAGGGATCTCTTCCTTCACCTCCATCTTGGACTCCTTTAGAGGGAGGCTTCACCTGGAAATGTCATCAACCTTCCATAACTTCGAGGTCTGGCTCACGTGTGGGATAAGATAACTCCAGGGAAAAAACCTTGGCCGTTGGTTGGCCCTACAATGGCCTCAACTCTACCTACAGTTGCATTTCTGTCCTCTCTAGCTTTCTCCATCTTCAGCTATGTCTGTGTATTCAGATGAGAGGAGCAGGTTGGTCTTGGACATTCAGGGGAGACCAGAGTTAAGCAAAATATAAGAAGACAAACCTGTCCCCAGATGTCCCATTTTATGTTATTTCCCCTTTATGTTCTTTCTGATTTTAACCTTCTTAAAATCTAGAGAGGAAAGGAAATGATAACAATGAATTGCATTAAAGTGTATTTTAAGCCTTCTCTCTAACGGAACAATAAATGTTTTGGTCTCTGTCTAAAGGAAGTGTAAATTTTTGAAAGAAGTCTCCATCTCGATCCCTGAAATCATCTCCTAAAACATCTCCAGAATCACCTAGCGGTTTTCAAATGTCTTTTTTAACTGTAAAAACTTTGTTGAAGCAAAATCTTATCAGAAGCCCAATACCTAAAACATATAAAGCTCCATCTACTGGGGAAGGAAGGTATGCTGCTCTCTCTACCTAGACAACTGCTAAAGAGGCTTTCCCCAAACCCCCAGGACTGGCCAGAGGACAGTGTGAAGCCTTTGGAAAGTGACCAACACTGAAACTAAGGATACCTTGTATCCAGTCCTAATTCTATCCTGATTCTATCATTAATAATTTGTGTAAACTTGAGGGGGTCCTTTTACCTCTCTATATTTCAGTTTTCTCTTCTGCAAGTTGAGGGAGGTAGAGAAGACAACTCCTGGGTTGCTTCCAGGCCTAAGGTTCTGTAAGTTCACTCAGATCCACACATTTTAGTATGTTCTCTCCCTGCCGGTATTGCCTTTTCACAGAAGACAGTCCTAGGGCAAAGCAATAAACCCCAAACTGGGGAGATGTAAGCCTCTTCCTTGCCTCAGAGAGAGGTGTAAAAGGAGGAGATGAGAGGCTGTGGCCTCCTAGGTCACCACTAAAGCCATGTAGGAGATCAGAATTGAATACATGGCCACAAGAGAGGAGGCAGGAAGCCAACTGAGCAGAAATCTTCAAGTCCCAGAGAAATAAATGCATTTTCTAAAATACAGTCAAACAAGTCTCCCTAACCCAAAGAAAGTCCTGGCCAACAGAGGTGGCTTCCTACCTGAGGCACCAGCCAGGGCTGTCCAACCGTAAAAGCCTGGAGCTCAGAGACCAGAATGACTTAACAGTCAGAGGGAACCGCATGAGTAAAGAGAAGTAGGGAAGGCACGTCACACCCTCCTCTTTAAGCCCTGCCCATGTCTACATTTGGAGAACAGATTAAGAGGTCGTAGACCTGTCAGAGCCTCACAGGGTCCATATATCCAAGCAGGGGTACCAGGATGAAGATGGAGTTAGAAATCCATTATCTGAATTCTCCACTCTATGGATGACTGTTTTTATTCTCTTCCTTTTCTTATACTTATTTTCCATTTATTTATCCCTTATATTCCCTAGTAGGCCTCCCTTGAAAGCTTTCAACTTGCCTGATGGGTAAAGGGGAAGGGATTTGACTTTTTACAGGAGAGACTTCAGAAGGAATCCACTGGAGGAAGGCATTGCAGGAGTCCTCCACTCAGGAGGAACTTGCAGGCAATCTTGTGGGAAGGAGGCAGAGAACTGTATTTAGACAAAAAGCAGAAAATTTTTACGTATATCATAGGCTTCTGTGGGGTGGCTTGGGGTCTGGTGGAGACCTGGAGGGATAATTAACCCCCCCTCCACCACCAGCCGCTCCTTTACACAACCACTGCCAAGAGCTCGTTGATTAGAATGGCCCTGCGGCTGGGGGTATGGGTGACCTGGAGTCTGGCTAGACAATAGGGGGCCCATTGGAGCTGGGGCAATCAGTGAATGGAGGAAGCTGGGCTCATGTCATTCTGCTTCTCTCTCAGTAGCGGAGGATGACTTCTCTGGGTACCTGCCTCAGCTGCTCCCAGCAGCTCACGTCTGTGCTCTGGCTTTACCCCTCTGGTACGTTAATCACACCTGCATTATAACATGAACCTACTGTACTGCAATGATGTATTTACCAGCCAGCCTTCCCCACTAGACCATGGACTGTTAGAAAGCAGGGCCCTTCTCCAAATCATCTTTGGATCCTCTGCAAGGGAACAGAGTAAGTGCTCAATCAATGGTTGTACAATAAATGGCACTAGACTTATTTCCTATGATTCACGGATCATGGATCACCACCACGATTCAGAGTGTAAGCTGTGCCTAAAAGCTTCACATCCAATCAGCCAGGCTGGTCAGTCTGGCATTGTTCTTTCCCAACCATCCTCTCTCGTTTACAGTTAGCACCAATCTATTCAACTGTAAATTATGTCCCTACCTTCAATGCCAAATTTATACATTTTTGCCACTGGTAAAAGTATTTTTTAAACTAAGTTATGCTCTCCTCCTGGATTCTCTTATGATTTGTAAATAGCAGCAAGAAGTATAGGAGACCATTGCCTGGGGCTACCTATGATTTGCTGTTGTTGGACAATTGTGATCTGATGCCTAGACTAGAAAGGACTTGAAGGTGGGGGAGTCCCTGAAGAGACTGAACATTCCCTTTATTAATCATCTAGGGGAAAGGTAGCTCTTAGAGCAGAAAATAGTGTCTGGGGCCACAGGAGAAAACAGACTGTCTGGAGCTGGGACAGCAAAACGCCTGTGGGCCTAAGTGCATTGAGGCTAC